ACGTTTAAATAGTTATGGTGAGATTAAATTCTCAACTCTCCCTTTATAGCCTTCAAATTGATAGACGTTAGGCATATTGGCTATCAAAGCAAGCCTTAATCCTCCTTTCTTAAAAAACAATCGAATCATACATGAGCATAAGATGAACAACAGCAACAAAACTCTCTAACAATTTATATTATTTTATTTATTTTTGTATATGAAAATATAACACAAGATAGCGTTCGTTAGATTATGTTTTTGAATTATGCAAAACAGAACCAATTACAGTTATATCCTGGGATTCGGAACGCGACACAACCGTTTTCAGAGTTAAAGATAAAAATCATATCTTGCCTCGACAAATCCGTTCTTTTCCTAATCCTTGTCGGTATTATTGTATTATCGATTTATTTATATATTTTATTTTACAAATATCAGTTTGCCCATACTGTAGTAATTTGAATTCCTACAAAAACTTGATAGAAAACTAAAAAAATCTAAAAAGACGCTTTGACTAGATAAAAGATGAAAATCTAGCACATTAGCACTTTAACTTTGTGAGTTTAACAAACCGTTTTACAAGCTAGTCACAACATTCTTATTCTCGGAATTACCATTTTCCCACATTGTTAACATTACTAATAAGAGGAGGCTTTCTTGAAGTGTAGGAAGATTCTTCATTTTGTGTTGTGCAGGGTTTCATAGTTCCACTTCTTTTATTTTTTGTTAAAGATAGTTCCCAATCTCCAATAGTCCCAATCTCCAATAGTGTCATAGTTCTAGGCTCTGTTCTTTCAAGAAAATTAGGCTCGCAAAATCATGCACTAAATATCGTATCAAAACTTTCAGCTAACCACCTTGGCGAGAGCTTCCAAGAACCGGTTTCCTTCTACCCTCTACGCTCTAAACCATCCTGAGAAATAATAAACACCCTCAATAGACATTACAAGGAGTAAGCCCGGTCTAGAGCATAGTCAAGTGAAGCCATCACTTCAAGTTTCTCGTTTGAAAACGTCAAATTTGGTGAAAAAATCATGAGAAATTTTGAAAAATACTACTTTTGAAGTGTCACTTTTAAAAAAATGCCATATTTTAAAATTTTTGCAAAAATAATAATTTTTAAAAGTTATTTATTCATGGAGCAATTGCAAAAATGTCATTTTTGGTGTGTACATTTGCAAAATTGCCACTTAAGAGTGTCTATTTGCAAAAATGCCACTAATTATGGATTTTTAAAGCATAAATCTTAAAATTATAAACCCTAAAAAAATTTTTGACCTCTAAACCCCGTTAAACCCTCAAAACTAAACTCTAATACAACATAATTAACCCAAACATAAATGATATAATAATTTTTTTTTGAAAAAGTTGCATTTTTGTAAAGATTTTGAAAATGTGGCATTTTTGGAAAAGTGGTACTTGAAAAGTGGCATTTTCTGAAATTTCTCTTTATTCATTATATTATTTATGTTTGGGTTAATTATGTTGGATTATGGTTTAGTTTAGAGGGTTTAGGGTTTGTTAGGACTCAAATATTTTTTAGGG